CCGCCTCTGCGGCCAGCGCCCTGTCGAATCTACCCGGCAACCATTACCACTAACGGTGCACCATTTATCCACGACGATGGCAGCACGACGTCAAAAGTGGCCGCCGACGCGAAACGCGGCTGGACTCGCGTAAAGGCGGGAACAAAAGACAAATAAAGTGATCACAGTTGTTTGGCAAATCTTTCATTCTCTCAGTAGTTGCGTCCGCTCTACAGAAATGAAATGTGCTTGCATATTCGATAAGAATTTAATCAAGCTGCTTGATATGATGCTGCAAGCACCACCAGCCCAAACTGCAGGTATTTATGTCCTTGCGTCGTGCGCTTTATGGCTGTGGACCGAAACCGGCATCTTTTACGTAATTTGCATACGCAATTCGTGAGCGATCAGTGTTTCCTCGGTGCATAATATTGTTTAGATACACCTGAGTGCCCAGATGATCAGCATTATAACGATGTTTTTATGTGGGCGGATAGCAAATATCCGCAGCGTGCGCCCAACGAAACATGTGCTAGAAATCTCCCGAATCCAGTTGTGGACAAGGCTGACACGATTCATGCGAGTCATTTGTCATGAACTGTGATGTGCTATGTCCCAATGCTGCCGTCCAAAGTTAAACCCCCATATGCTAATCTTTGGACGTTTTCGCGTTTTTATGTCGTCTGATTCGTGTACTCATGCCGAATTTGGTGATCAAAACCACTAGTGCAAATTTTCACAAGCTTTTAGTCCTTTATTTTAGCCAAAAGCTTGTGCAAATCCCAACTGTTGGTTTGCATATCTTAATTCAGCAGGAGAAGACCAATCAGATGACATAAAAACGCAAAATGGCCAGAAATAAATATATGGGTAGTATGACCAGAAATAAACCTTTGGACGGCAGTATAGCTCTGCGATTGTATGAGAATGTTGTGTGAGGGTGACACAGAATAGGTAAGTGAGCAGGCGTTGGCGGCTAAGAAACGTCATACCTTGTTTGGCTTTATTGTTGCGTGTGCATCTGTGCTTTCGGAAGCTGTCGGTATGCTGTCGGGATGTCGGAACCGCTGTCATTGCACCAAAGTTCATTACCATCCGCCTCCATGCATGTGTACATAAGTTGTGTGCTAGTTATGAAACTTCGGAGAGCGTGTCATCGCTGTTTCTTGTTTAGACGTGTTACGCCCAGGCCGTGCTTTCTGTTCATGAACTACACATACGAAATGGATTTCCCACATGGCCTCGACCATATATAACAAAATTATCGAGAAATTCGAAAACGATGTTTGCTTCATGTAACTGTCCTTGACTATATTCTCACTGACCTTCAATTGAAAATTCAAATTTAGTACAATGCAGGGCAACTGTTTCAAAGACGTTGAGATCAAATGACCTTGAATGCCTGTCGGCCGCGTGTCCTGCGGGCGTCGAGCACAGGGCCGTCACTTCGGGGAAGGGGTGGGACCGAAGATGTATTCGCCCTACCCGGGGTCCGAGCCGCGGGGACAGCGGTCCGCAGGGCGGCCAGCTGACAGATGACAGAGGGGGTCAGCTCGGCAACAGCCGGTCCTCCCTTACACCGGTGCGGCAAAAAGCATGACCATTTGCTTTTCTGTATGAGAGAAATGTCAGATGAAAAAATGTCGAAAACTAAATGACCATTAAATTACCTGAGTGCTGGACTGGAGGCACCCACAAGCAGTGAGCTTTGCTCGGAAAACTCGCTGAACTCAATGCGACTGTTGCGACGCATTCAGAATAGCTTAATGTAGATACGAAGGGGGGCACGAAACACTTAGCCACATTCGTAATTCGGTTTTTTCTCTATACAAAGTCTCTGAGATAAGGATGCGTCAGGGCGATATGAACACTAAAGATTTTACGTGGCGCTACCTAGTCAAGAAATATTACGATGGTATTTCACTGAAACGATTGGATGGGTGCATACGGACGCAAACGAACAATAATGAGATTTAACCACTGCTAGAAACTTTATTCTCGCATATCTAGCCAGCATTCATGTAACATAATAGCCGACAGAGACGAATCACGCCGGGAGTGCGTTGCCGTGCTTGTTCTTCATTTGTCAGTACTTTAATTAGTCGCGCCCTTGGATATCAAACTCGCATTCAAGTTTTGCCTTTGAAAATTGCGTCAGAACTGCAGCGAAACCGAAAATGGCATGAGTACATTAGTGTTGTAGCGGGGTAACGGGACCCGAAATTAATGCGTAAAATTCAGAAAAAACGGGTCGGTTACGCAGACCAATAACGGGCATGTCCAAGAGGTTAACTCCAGCGGCATAACTGTTCCGACATGTGCGTTTTCCAAATGATCTAAATCCTGGCGCCACTTCTGAGTGAAATCCTGCTCTGGCCTAACCCTTTACCTGAGAGCAACAAATTGCATGTCCGTCATGTCAGCGTCGTTATTGTACTCGAATTCAGTGTGGGGTTAACGTTTCCAAAAGCTTGCTTTCAAGGTAAAACCTTTTCAGGTATTCACGAATCTGCAGTCTCTCTTCTGTATTTTTCTCCTCAGGTCAATAAAGGGTAAAAGCCTGGGCACTCTGGAATTCTTCCGTTGATCAAAGAAATCCAACAAAACGGTCATCATACTGATTCCCGTGAAGCCCATTCCCGTCACACTTACAGAAACTCAGTCGCAAATAAATGGTCAAAATCATATAAAATAGGAAACCCTTACACTTCTTCGCTCATGATGAAATTGCAGCAAAAAGGGTGTCATATCAGTGTTTGCGAAGTCCTCCTTCTTCGCACCTGCATAGCTTTGCCTTTAAAGTCAAGGGCCAAGGTCACATAAAAAGTGGCATCCATTTCACGCAGAAATGCGACGAAAGAGATGTCAAAGGGATGTTTGTCACGCCTGCCTTCCTTGCATCTGCGAAAGCTCTCAAGGTCAAAGTTAAAGGTAATAAAAATGTGGTACCCTGACATGGTTTGCTAGCCGAAGAAATAAAATGAAATGGGTGGCATGATGACAACCGTGGTTTCCGCCTTCATAACACAAAGGGCAACAGTCAAGGGCATTGTATAACGGCACAAAATAACTTTCATAGAGGTGCTCGGGGCGTCCACTTTCATGACAAGAACAATAACTCAAGATCAAATGTCAAGCTCACACAAAAAGCGACAACTCGGCATTAATTCGTTTCATCAAGAAATACGATGCAACGGGTACATATTAATACTTAATGCCTGCCTTGTCAACAAATGCAAAAACTATCTTTCTATGTTAAAGGTCAAGGTCACACAAAACACAGCGCACTGGAATATATTCTTTAACCAAAAAATACCACAAAAATCTGCAATACTGATGCATGTGGTGTTGGCTTTCGTCATATATGAAAGGTAATCATCAGATTCAGGGCCAAGGTCACAAAAACGCGATAAATTGATATATGTTCACTTAAAAACAAATAGCAACAACATGTTTACCATTGAGATGTCTGTGATGCCCAATTTCGTCGCGCGCAGGAAAAATGTTTTGAAGGTCAAAAGTCTACGTCACAAAACGTAGTGTCCGGGCATTTATTTGTTTGTTATTTGTCTCCTTGAGAAATACAACAAATTTGGACATTACCAGCACTACTATGATACACATTTTGCTGTAATCCTTTGGTAAACGAATGAGTGCCAGGGGATCGCATCTTTGTGATCTTGACGGATGACCTTAACAGTCAATTTTTGGAACTTAGGGAAAGCTGATTCATGAGTATCAATACGCCATGATTTCTGTTGTGTTCCTTGTGTAAACAAATGGATGTCAGAGTACGGGGTTTTGTATAACCCTGACCTGTGACATTGAAACTGTTGCAAATTCTTACTTGTTGAAGCTTTTCACAAGTGTGACGAAAGTGGCACCTCAAGCATCCTTATGCTACTCATTTTGTTGTATTTCCTTGGTTCACAAATAAATGTGAGGGTACGGTGTTTTTTATGGCCTTGAGCTTTGACCAAGAACATTAATTTTTGCAGATGTGACGAAAGAGGACATCGTGAACATCAATATGACACCCTTTTTGTTGCACTCTTTATGAGCGAAGAAATATCAAGGTATCCCAATTCACGTGACCTCAACCTTTAACCTTGAGAGTGAGCTACTGTAAGTTTGCTTACACGGGACATCGCTGGGATAAAAGTGATACGCATTTTATTGGATATCTTAGATAAGCGATGAAATGCCAGGGTACCCACGTTCTGACCCTTCATTTACCTGAAGGGGTCAAACCAAATGACTTAGAGAAAAGAGGAGTGGAGATTCCTGAATACTTCAGTGGGTTGAACCCAGGGAAAAGACTGTTGAAAGTCTGAACTGGACTGGAATTCGAATAAGAACGCGACGCTTACTTGACGGACATGCAAATCGCGTCACTTAATATAGCATTTCCAACCATATTTGTAGGGATCACATGGATCTTACTTCAAGTCCCGCTGCCTGTCAGGCCTTGTCCTGCCTCGCCTTGTCTTGCACTGTGCCTTGCCAGGCCAGCGACCCAACAGGACGTTCAATTACTGGTTCTCGTCGGAAAAAACGAACAATATTGAGAACCGCTCTCTTTTTTGGCCTTTTCATACAAATTTGAGTGTCTTGATGGGCGTGATGCCTTTCTTCTCGAGCCGTGACCTGACCTGGTCAGATGATGTCTGTTGGATAGCAAAGGCTGCGCCTACTGTGCCTGAAGCGTTTAGGAGGAGTGACCTTTGACCCCGCGCGTGCCCCGAGATGGTGAGTAATGGCTAGAGACATAGTCTTGCACGATTTGGCTCGGGCGTGGGAACTGCGCTGGTCGCCGACGACCAGTCAGTGTTTTTGTCTTGAGGAAAGATCTGGCAAGGCTCTCTACGGGGACAGAAGCTTCATGAAGCCACTTGAAGTTGCTTGAAGTTGATCATGATTAAGTCCTCATGCTGTTGTGTTGTTCCTCCAACTTATGCCGTGTTGAAGTTTTCCCACACGTTTGCCGAGAGCCACAGTCTGCTTAGGTGTATCACAGAGGGCACAATTCGCTTTGTATATTTCACACCGAGGTGTCCTGTGCCCACACGGAAGTGGAGCCACACCTCGATTTGTTCACGTTGACGTTGTATATTACCAAGCAAGTCCCAGCATATCATACCTTGGACACAATTTAGTTCCAGTATGACTCTGGTCTGTACATATCGCCTTTGCTATTCACTCCTCTGTCATGAGGGTCGCGATGTCTTGCAACAGGGCTTCCAACACGCGATGTTTATTCAATGCGAACGCATGCGCAATGCAGCCAAGAACAATGAACATGTGGCGCACCGGCAAGGGAAGTGCGGCACTGCGCTGCCAGCTGATGTCAGCAGGGGTCGTCCAAGGTCGCACAAGGTCACGTCGGCCTAGAGGCCGGGGGTGACTTCGGATCGCGGAAGAGCCCGGCTGATGAAAAGACTAGTGGGCACATCATCTGGAACATCGATAGGGCGTTAGCTGCACCACGACCGTGCGGCCGATTACTTCTAGCGCGGACCTTGACCCTGACCCTTGACCCTAACCCTTGGCCCTGACCCCACCATTAAAGCTCCAGCTCCACCAGGGCCCCATTTCAGCTCCTCGGAAGTTTTTTTGTGGACAATTTCTGCTCGTCATGTGACCTGTGACACAGAGGTTCGAGTTCGTGCTTTCGAGTTAGCTTATACAGAAGATTCATATTTTAGCTCATGCGGAGTCCCAGCATTTATCAGTGCTAAATGTCAGAGCAAGCCCCGGATAAAGACCAGGCACTTCCACGGACACAGACATGCAGAACAGCTGGAGGTCATAAATGCTTATCACTCACACAAGCGGATCAGTGGCGTGAACGCTGATATCAACCTTTAAGGAAGAAAACGAATCGTTCATTAACACTAACGACTTAGCTAACGTGCGATTTAGGATCATTCGACATCCGGCTGACTATGACAACCTGCTGACAGCGATGGGCAGATGCTTACCTTATCCTGCTCTGACGTCATGACGTCCGCGGTTCAGTGGTAACCGTAGCCCTTATCATCCTCGGGCTGCGTGACGTAATAGCCCCAGGGCGCGAACACGTCGTAGCCGTGACCCTTGCTGGGCCCGCGGTACGTCTGCAGCAGGGGGAGAGCTTCAGAGACCGCACACCGGCTGGCGCGGCAGAAGGGCGCGCCGGGGAGGTTCGACGGCGGGATCAGTAGCTTTTGACAATCGTCTTCATGCGAGGCACAAAACAGAATTGGCTACCCCTACCGCGTGAAGTGAGGTCTCTTCATCCGACATGGGTGTGTGCAAATGGCAAGCACACAAGCAGCACGTAGATACGGCACGAACCAACTACTTACAGCACAGAGCAATTCGAGCAATCCATGGAATGTTTGCTGGGTGAATTGAACAAGAACCTGCCGTAATTGAAAAAACACGGGGTGTGTGCGATATGTGTGTTGAAATCGTTCCATTATTGGTCCATTAACGTATTACCAAGAATTACCGAACTATATCAATTCCAATTGGTGACACCTTCAGCATTGCATTTCACTCGCGCGGCTCTCTTCCAGTGGAGCTCGTCTGTCTGTCTGTGAGCCTAGTCTAGTCTGTGAGTCTTTCTGTCTGTGAGTCTTTCTGTCTGTGAGTCTGTCAGTAGCCTAGTCTGTGCTCACGGCTGCACTCCCCTATGCATTATGCGGGTGAAAAAGCAGTTAGTCGGCGCAAAGGAAAACATGCCGCACACCGTAGCGTGGATCAAGCACTTCCGTGGTCAGCGTTTGGATGAAACTAACGTGCATATAACAGCAGGGACTTTAGGCATCGGCGTTTATTCGGATACACATGCCTAACGTAACACCTCAATTTTAACTTAATCTGTGAAATTTCACAGCATGTGTGGCATGGCATGCCTTACCTGTGGCGTGACATGCCCCACCATGCCACTCAACAGCACGCACCTGTATTTTCACGCGTCCGTAGGAGGGTTTGCCGTAGCCTTGTCGGGGCTGGATTTCCGCCACCACAAACTTGTCGCGGCCGTACGGCTGCTCCGGCTGGTAGCCGTAGACCGGCTCTGGCTCATACCCTTGCGGGAAGGCGTCGGCCGCCGCCAGCAGGCAGGCCACGGCCAGGGCCGGAACCATCAGCTGCGGGAGGACAGAGTAACGGCGTCACGAAACTATGCTCACGGCCGCTACCGAGCTTTCGGACCCCACACCAGCACAGAAGCCACGGGCCTCACACCAGCACAGAAGCCACGGACCTCACACCAGCACAGAAGCCACGGACCTCACACTAGCAGAGAGGCCATGGGCCTCACGCCGGCGCAGCGGCCACGGGCCTCACGCCGGCACAGAGCCCACGGGCCTCACACCGGCAGAGAAGCCACGGGCCTCACACTGGCACAGAGGCCACGGGTCACACTGGCACAGAGGCCACGGGCCTCACACCGCCACGAATCCTACGGACCTCACATAGGCACGGAGGGTTCACACCGGACGGACTCCACGGGCCTCACACCGGCAGAGTCCACGGGCTTCACACAGGCGCGGAGGCCACGGGCCTCGCACCTACCGCAGCCTATGGACCTCACGTCGGCACGGGGGCCGCACACCACCACAGAGGCTACGGGCTTCACGCCGGTACAAAGACCTGGGGACGACCAGAGCCGCGGCCAGCGAACTAGCCGAATGAGACCAGCTGGGACCGACACAACGCGTGGAGTCCGGCTACCAGCTGGGCCGACACAAGGCGCGGAGTCCGTTTTAGCGGGCGGAGTCGGCTGCTGCCCAGTGGCGCCTCGCCAGCCAGTCTGCGGGGTCCCACAGGCCCGCCGCCCGGGCGAGCTCGTCGCGACGGCCGGGCACTGAGCAGCACCGAGTGGGCCGGAGCCGGCGGCCGGCGGCCGGAACTCACGGCTCGTGCAGGGCTCATCGTGCGGCGTTGCTCGGCGACTGCTCCGGCGCGGTCCGACGTCGCCTTTATAGCGGCCCCGGCCGGCCGTTTCACCGGCTCCGGACCTGGCCGTCGTGGGAGCGGGCGACCGAGAGCCACGCGGGAGAAGGGCCAAGGCGCGACTCCTAGTGCATTAGGGTACAGGGACGTCAAAAATCACAGGCGAAACGTTGATGGTTGCATGAATAAAATGAAGCTGGCACGCTCACTTTGCCATGCATGGAAAGGTATATTTTGCTCGACAGCAAAAGGCTTGGTAGGTATTTTTGTGGAGCCAAAATGCGGCAAGCAGTGGATATTTGGTTCCTGTGACTTGCGTTTGGTTTTGTAGGATGACATTTATTGATTTGCGGCTTTCGATGTCCGCATACTAATGCGGCAAAGATCTCGAGCATAACGTGCTAAAGTGTGGGTTCAACAAGTGTGTTGATTTTCTGCTCGTTTTCAGATGGTCGCCACAGTAAGCCACAAGTGCTCTGGCTATTGCCCCTACAATAAGCAAGCAGGATTAAATATTTTGCAGCCCATACGACCTCCGTGGCAAGTCCGTGTTGAACTGATAAATGTTAGGCCAGATGTCGCGCTTCACGTTTGATTTTAAGGTGAATGCACTGCCCATACTGGCCATATGCACTGGCTATATGCAATTAACACGCGCTCAGTGGGGAAGGTAATACGACACCAGAAATTTTTTCCAGAATGACTTCCATCGTTGTAGGTAAGTGAATATTTCTTTTGACATAGATAATTAGACATATTTTGCAAGATCTCCGGCCCACAGCAGGTAAAAGTTAGGACATGGCTGTCAGTAAAGACAATTCCGAGAGATTTGTTCAACGCGAAGCGACAGCGTAGTGTTTGAAGAGCTCCTAGAACTTCGAGAGGTTTTCTTAAGCAATTAGACTACTGCACCTGGGCTTACGACCAACTCCACTTATCTTGGTTTAAGTTTGGACGTTAGAGCAAAGTAAAAATGTAACCACCTTGTTGCTGGAAAACTTGCTTTATGAGCCCCTTTTTACGCTTATTACAATTCATCGGTCACAACAACATAAAAATGTCCTATGTAGGCTACATGAAAGTGGTGGCCATTGGTCTAAAACGAATTCGATCAACTTCTTACTTTGAAAAGCATGCTGCCTAGAGTAGCACTCGGCGCCGATCACGACTTCAAATACGAAAATGGTCCGGAAGGCTCCTGGTCATTTTTCAAGGTCAAATAAAGTCACTGATCTGATATGAACATCAGCGACATCTCACTGATATGGGGTGTGTTGGCTAGGGCTCGTTGCGTAAGAAGGCCTGGGGCACCCAGGACAACGGTGTTGCGTTTCACCTTGCGTGACCTTATGTGACCAGAATTTTACGACCTAGGAATTTCAAGTTCACCGCAAGCGAGTTCATGAATAATCTCACTTACCCTGTGAGCTTTCTGTATCAGCTCTCTTAGTTACTGAGATATCAGTGGGATGAAATCCCTCCCCCCCCCCCGCTCCGAACGCGCCACACTAAACCGGCCTCCCGAGCGCGTGTTAATGCTTGTCCGAAGTGAACCATAATATGGTCTATGGCACAAGAGGCCATCTTATTTAGACGATGTGTGACATCTATGAACCCTCAAGGTCTGATCCAAGGGCATAATGCGATGGACGGAAGTTTAGATAGCCAGCTGTCCCCGTAAGTGAGGCTGAACGACCTATGAAAACAATGTTATCTTTTTTATTAATTTGATCCGAACCTTTTGAATGGATGACTTTCTGGGATCAGCCCCCACGCTAAGCAGTGCTTGTTGTGTGAGCCCTGACCTCACCATCCGATCGCGCAATTCCAGGCAACGGCAGAATCTGGTGGCGAAAGCTTAACGTGCCGCACTGCTCGGCACGGTCCGTCTTGCCCTCTGACGTCAACTGACCTTTAGGGCGACCGCTGCCACCGGCCGCAGGCCATATCTGTCAAGGTCAAATAGCGAGTGCCCTAAAGCGACTCGAACCCACCTTACCACGCGTGGGTGGATCGGAGGGCAGGCGCTCTAATCAACTGAGCCACCGGGACTGACTGATCTTGATTGTAAAGATTTTTGAAACGGTCCAATCATGAAGAAAATGCAAGTAAGACGCACATACACAGAGAGCAAAACTGCCCGCGCGGAGGCGGCACCAGGCAATTGGAATGAAGAAACTTTCTGGAAGTATGAATCGGAGATTAGTATGGGTTTGGATTTCGCTTTTGCTAGTCGATGGTATCGAAAGATTACATCCCCTTAAAGCAGATCAGTGCATCGTGTGTCATTGGGGTTTTACATGGCACTCAGCTGTTCAAGCTATACAGAGTCGCTTTCGCTACCTCTCATCATCCTGGCAGGAGGAACGGGCACCGCCGGGCATTGAACCTCGTACCTCCGGCTTCCCAGACTTACGGTCTAACCGCTGCACTGTCGGCACCCCAGATTGACATGTCGACAGATTGCTGGTTAGAAGATGATCTTAAGGGTGATGGAAAAAAGAAATGTCGTCAACAAAAGGTCTTATGGAAAAGATTACATGTGGATAAATAGTATGGCCAAAGACCATGAGGAAGGAACAGCATTAAGAGTTGATAAGCAAAGGCTCATACGGAATCAGGATCGTCAGGCAATAGTCATTTGGTACGAATGTTACATCGTAAAACGTCTGAAAAAGTTCTTAGGCAAAATACTATAAAATTTCATCGGATAAGGGTTGTCAAGGATGAAGAAAAAGGTCAAAAGAGATAAAGAAAGCTGCAAGCTAAAAATCGTTCAGGGTAAGATGGGTGGTGCGAAATGTCGTACTTATATGTTGTGCGATAGTATCGCACCAGGTCGCCGAGATTTAAAGAACCCATAGCAAGAGAAGTGACTGCAGCTCCACAATTAAGGTAATTAAGTGAAGCCAGTGTGGCTGCATGTCTTCAGAAAAGACAGAAACAGCATCAGGTGTGGATGCTCACGGGCTTCCTCTTCCCTTCCTGCCATTCAACTCCGCACTCAGTGAACCAAATCTGATACCTGAAATTCTTACAGTGACACGGTTTCCCTACTGGGCGTGCATCTCCAAAGTGGAGGCGCCAAGCAAAACGTCAAATGTTGGGCGTCAGTTGCATTTCCAGCCGGCGCCGACCTCTAACCGGGCACTCGTTCAGTTCCGACCGTTCGGTTTCGTTCCGGCCGTTCGCCACCGACCGTTCAGTTTCGTCCCCCTGTTCCTGGATGCGGAGGCGCCGTCGCTTGTCGGTCAGGCGCTGGCTACACGTTGTGTGACGCTGCGATGTCGCACCCAGGAACGAAAGTTGTCATGTGACCTTTATCTTACGGGGTCCGTGTCCAGTCATAAATTCGTCCTTGTGATATTTGTCGTGTACGATGTTCTAGCATAGGAACTCTATCCCATCCAGTCTGTATCCCTCATGTCCTGTCTCCATACTGACCTTCATCCGGAACGGGTTTTCCCCGTACGATCCTGTGTGACAAGAACCACTTGATCCTTCACCACTGCGATATTTATCGTGCATGATCTTTCGGCGTGGAGTATTTGTCTTGCTATCGCTTGACGTGCGATACTTTATCACATCGTTACCACACAAGTTACCACATCGATGATGATATTTCCGCGGCGTTCTAAGTATGAAAAAAGACAGTATCAGGGAGTATGGGTGGGAAACAGATATTTTCATACAGATATGCACGACTGTTCCAGTGTACGCTACGATGAGGTGTCGGACATTACGACGCTCTTTTGCGCATATCTAGAATATCGGAACAGTGGCGAATTTCGGGAACACGCAAAAGGCGCAGGAATGCATTCGAAACTGATAACGTATTTGCGTTCGCAGGTAAACCTGTTTTGACGAGCGATTTTGACTGACCACCAGGCTCTTCACCTGGCATTCCGACCACGTGGCTGTCAAACAGAGCTCACGGATGTGTTCTTGAAACGCTTTCGGCGTTATAAACCGAACTATCATCCGTTGTAGTGTCGTTGGCAATGAAATAGCAAGACTTAATGAAATCTGCTCCTGAACCACGTCTTCTGAGCACAGCTGAGCCTGCCCCGAGCATTTTAAAGTCGCTTCTGTTCAATACGATTGTCATTTCTGATTGCGTTTAGCATCCTGAGCCATCAATAGATAAGATAAACATGTGTTTTCCCCTTTCAGCCAAGGGCAAAACCCACATAACCATACATTCCTGCTTGCCACGAACACAACGACCGCTTAGGTGTACCGTATAACACACTACATATGTGCTGAGACTGTTCATTCATTCGACGTGTCCTTTCGATCCAAAAATAGATGTGTGTCGTAAAATCTAGTTTTACCTCATGTTCCCCAACAGAATGCGCAATCACAGGATTTTTGTTCAAAAATGGCGATCTGGCGATCAGTCCAAGCTTTCGAAGAAAAAAACGACCACGAAAGAACAAACTGGAACAAATGGTGGATTCATGAAGATCAAGGGAGTCAAACTAAGCCCCGCATAAGATTCAAGGGAAATCAGCTATGGATATCGTGTGAAAACGGGTGGAAACAAAGCAGACGCTGTTCTGATGCCATCAGGTCTTCTAAAGTTTAGACGCTTCATGCTCAGTTGAACCAGTGGGCTCGAATGCAAAATGTGCAAATGTGCATTACAGGCCCGCATGAAGGATTAATGCATGCTTTGAAAGATTACGAGACCTGACAGTTCTCGGCACTGTAAAGGCACAGGAGCTCGTCTCCACAGCTCACAGGATATGGTGTGCGTGCTGCTGGTAGTCGGTGTCTCATGGCTTGCCTGCCATGGCTTGCCTGCCATGGCTTGCCTGCCATGGCTTGCCTGGCATGGCTCTCATGCTTGCCAACAGCTTGTTTCTGGTTCATACCCGCAAAAGGATCTCTCGTGTGACATTGCGAATAGACCTGCTCGTCCGACAAGCGCCACATGTTTTATACTCACTTCATAGCCCGTTATTCACTCCGGCCATCGCCATATGATCTATTTTGCCAACTTGTGAC